CAATCCCACACTGGGGATTAGATGGGGTCACCCATGAGCTTGGCTCCCCCAGCACCCATGGGTCACCCTTCACCAACTAGAACTGGATGTGGCGACAAAACTGCACCCAGCCTTGACCCTGACGCACAGTGGGTCCATGGAGTGAAGGGGCCATGGGGAGAGCAGAGCCAAACTCAAACCTCTCCATGGGCTCAGAGCAACAAGGGGGGAGTAGAGGGACCCTGGGCACCCAAGCATCCACCTCTGGTGGGACACAGGGCCCCGGCAGGACCAGGGTGGCTGCTCTGCTGTTTGTCTTGCTGAGGAAGGTGCTGGCAGTGAGATATGGGAGCTCTCCTCTTGAGTGCAGATAAATGTCGTAACAGCCGCCAGCCAGTGCAGCTTATGGATGGGGATTTAACACCACCTCTCCCCTGTGCCAGCAGCTCCATGCCTGAGGACTGCAGCCCTTGGTGCTGGTGGTGGGACCAGATCTTCCACTGGCACCAGTCTGGAGCCCCAGTGTCCCCCTTGCTGGTCCCCCCAGCTGGGAGGTGACTTCATGGGGTCCCTCTTCCCTCTGGGAGCAACCTGGAGCCCCAACATCCCACCATGGCCATCCCTTCGTCCAGGTGGGAGAGCCAGCTCCGCCTGGCACAGGGGGATGTCCCCATGTCCTCATCCTTGCCCTGCTCAGGGTGCCTTCCACACCCCAGCACCACATCCAGTCCATCCTTGGGGCATTGCCCCAGGAGCACCAATGGCTCTGCCCAGAGCTTCTCCAACAAAGCAGCACCCACTCTCACCAGGTCCCCGCTGCACCCCATGTTCCCAGCCTCACCGGAGACAGGCCGCATGGCCCCAGGCAGCAGTGGATGGGGTGACTCCATCCCTCGGTCCTGCTCCCTTGGTCCCAGCCCTGGCAGGTTTGGCACCGGTTGTGCCAGGGTGAGCAGGGCCCTGAGCATCCTTTTGAGCCGGAACGCTGGGTTTCTGGTGAAATCCTGCAGCAGTGTTGCCGTGACGACCCTCCTGCAGTTTCCATCCAGAGATGTTTTCCTTTGTTGTGACAGGGATGCAGGGAGGTGGCCATGGGGCGATTGGGGTGTGTGGTGGCAATGGTGGGGGGGTCCAACTGTGAGGTGCAGAGACCTGGTGGGGCTCCAGCTCCAATGTGGGGCTGGGGGGCCCCATGGGTCCAGCACAGCTCTGACTTGGCCCCAGACATGCAGGGGACAGCAGAGGGGCCAGGAGCCACATGATCTGAGGTCTCAGCCAGGTCTCGCTCCTATCAAGAGCAACAAAAGAGAGGTGATGTGGCCAACCCACAGTGCAGGGACAAGCGTGGGAGCACTGCAGGGGATGGAGAGGTTGGCCCTCTGTGAGCATGTCACAAAGCACCCCTTGTCACCCCAATGACAGAGCCAGTTTGGGGGGGGCGGTGGGGCTTGGACCCTCCCCAGCTCCAGCACTGCCCAGTTTGGCATCCAGGACAGCAGCACTGTGACCAGGGTGCTGAGCAGCATCGCCGCTGCCATCCTGCGGGTGCTGAGCACCGAGGGACTGGGGTGCCAGGGACCCTCCGTGTGCAGCCCCAGTCCCCGCACTGCCGGGGGGACCCCGTCCCGCGCCCCACGGAGCCGCTTGTTATTCCGCTCAGGTCCGCGGGCGGCTGATGGAGCCGGTTCCAGGAGAGCTGCCACATTCATCGGGAGAGAGGCTTATTAATGAGGCCTCTGCCACTGCAGCTGGGGCCAGCACTCGGGGCACTGCCACGGGGACAGGCAGCAGGCGGGTGCATGGATGGATGCATGGATGCATGCATGGATGGACGGATGAACGCCTCCATGACAGGGCAAACTGGCATCTCGTGCCTTGGCCAAAGCCGGGGCTGAAGCAGGGCAGGTTGCCCCGATCCGAGGTCTGCTCTGGAGGGGATGGGCTGAGACCCAGCACCATGGACACCACGGACACTCTTACATCCTCCCCTCAGCCATTCGCCCACTGTGGCTGGTTTCTGCTTTTGGCTGGTGCCAAACCTGCCCCACAGCATGACCTGGGCATGGCAGTGAGGGCATGGAAGGGTCTGGGGGTGCAGCACCCCCCTGGGGACACAGAGACCCTGCCCTGGCCAGGCCCAACTTCCCTCCCAGCCCAACAGCAGGATGCATTGATTTTATTTTCTGTTTCCATAGCAACTGCCTCCTTCCCTTCCCCCTTCTGGCAGCCAGACCCGCTCCTTCGCCCTCCTGCAGCACCCACCCCACCAGCACCCACTCCACAGTGCAGGGGGCGATCTGGGGGAGCAGCCAGCAGGGACTGGGAGCAGACATGGGACACGGTGCTGGTTCATTTAATCCAGGGCAGTAATTGCCCCCTTGGCCGACTACAGCATCTCCCAGTAGAGGAGCCAAGCTGATTAATGGCACATCCTACCCCACACCACTGACGTGCCATGTCTCTGGCATCCCTTGTGCCATGGCACCGGCAGGGAGGACACTGGCACCGCAGCAACACAACCATGAGCCCGGTGTCCTCACCCCTTCGGGAGAAACACCAGTTTGTGACTTAAAATCAGGGTCATTATAAGATAATTATATCCTTTATCAATCCTCTTCCAGAGGGCGCGCCCGTCGCTTCTCGGCACTGCTCCTTCCCAGCGCGGAGATGCCACCACATTGGTATTTAGCATCAGTTACCGGCTGTGCCAAATCCTGACCTTCCTGGTGCCCCAGGGACCCGCGCCCCCTCTGCTTAGGGAGGGGAATAGAGGCAGAGGAGAACAGGCAGGGCGCTGTGCCGGGCCGAGGGGCCGCGGTGCTGAATGCCGCCCGTGCCGCAGTCACCGGTAATCCCCCGTGTTTACACGGAAGCGGGAATCAATCCGAGCGAGTCATTAACGGCGAAGGGCACAAGACCCGCGGCTGCTTCGGAAGCCGCTGCCGGGCCAGGCCGGGGTCATGGCGCGGAGCTCACACGCCGGCACCCGCCACACAAAAGGCACTGGCATTCGCTTCCTGCACCGCCGGCACCGGCACCGGGCCAGCGCCCCGGTGGCTCACGGCTGCGAGCTCACGCCCGGTGGGAGCGGGGGGTCTGGATCGGTGCCGGAGCCTTGGTTTGGCACCAGCCTTTCCATTAGCTCTTGGATAGAAAGCAAAGGCCCCCCTCGGCGGGCTGGATGGCAGCCGGGAGCCAGCGCCACCGCCAAGCTGCTGCCGGCACAGCCGCAGTCAGCGCCTGCCTCGTTCCTCGAGAGCGAGAGGGTGAGGAAGATGCTGAGGCTGAAGCGCCCCCGGGGCCGGAGCGCTGCCCCCTTTCCCCTCAGGGTCACGGGGGTGATGGGGACAGGGACAGCAGGCGCGGGCAGGGGGTGAGGTGGGGAGCAGTGGCACAAGTGGCAGATGTGTCCCCAGCACACAGTTAGCCCAGGGGCAAGCATGGCTCCGGCGGGTTTTGACCCAATTCTTCAGGCAAAACTCAGCGGGGGGAGATGGGGAGGGAGGAGGAGGAAAACTGAGCTCATCACGCGTGTGCTGCTGCATGTGAGCACATGCGTGTGTGCTTTCTGACATGCGTGTGCGCGGGCAAGCACAGCAGCTCCAGATGCCGGTGAAGGATCAATTGAAGCAGCTCCTGTGTTCTGTGTGTGGCTGGGAGGTGATTTCTCCCTGCACAGCTGCTCCGGGCTTCCCACTGCGATGCCTGTGGGATTGCCGGCCCTGCTGAGAGGCTGCCATGCTGGGAAGCAGGAGGGTTGGAGCTCCCGGAGCTTTGTGCTTGTGACTTGGATGGAGGAGGATGGTGGAACATGTAGGGATTGAGTGTGCAGGGATGTAGGAGCATTCAGAGATGCTGGGGTGTGAAGGGGTGCGGGAGCATTCACAGATGCTGGGGTGTGCACGGTTGTAGGAGCGTTCAGGGATGCAGGAGCATTCAGGGATGCTGGGGTGCGAAGGGATGTAGAAGCGTTCAGGAATGCTGGGGTGCACAGGGATGTAGGAGCGTTCAGGAATGCTGGGGTGCAGAGGGATGCTGGGGTGTGCAGGGCTGCAGGAGCTTTCAGGGATGCTGGGGTGCACAGGGATACTGGGGTGTGCAGGGCTGCAGGAGCTTTCAGGGATGCTGGAGCACACAGGAATGCTCCAACTGCAGGCATACCCCACTGTGCAGGGATGCTGGAGCATGCGAGGATGGACGCTGGGGTGCCCAGGGACGCTGGGATGCGCAGGGATTCCTGCCCTCCCCGCGGTCTCCGCCGCTGCCGTTCCGAGCCGCGCTCCCACAGTGCCACCTACCGCGATGGCCCGGGACGGCACCGGGCACCCACCCGCAGCACCCAACCCCAGCCCGGCGGGGTCCCCCTGGAGCCGGGGCGGGGAAACACCCCCAGAACGCTGCAGGGGCCGGGAGCGGGGTTTGGGGGGGACGAGGCCTTTGCAGAGGGGGTGAAGCACCGGGTGGGTCACCCCCAGGGGTGCTGCATGGGGGGGGCCCTGCGTGCAGCCCCCCCATAGCCTTGGAACGCGGGGGGGGGGGCTCAGGGGGTGCCGGAGAGCACAGAGCACCGGCGGCTGCTGCCGGAGGTCCCCGGAGCCCGGGGGGGGGGGGGGGGGGGGAGCTCTGCGGCGGAGGTCGGGGGGGGTGGGTCCCGGGGAAGGTGCTCCGCCTCTTCCTGCGCCGGGCGGGCGGTGAGTGCGGGCGGCCGGAGGGGACGGGGATGGGCGCGGGACGCAGCAGGAGCGGGGTCCGGCGGTGCTGCCATGGTCCCGGGGGTCTCCATGGCTCTTAAGGGTTCCGCAGTGCTGCCCGGATGCTTCTAATGCTGCTGGGCGTCCCTTGTGATGTTTCGGGGGGGGGTCCCCAATGCTGCCTGGGATACCCAGTGCTGCTCAAGGGTTCCAAGTACTGAGGAGTCCCTGATGTTGCTCGGGGCTCCTCAGTGCTGCTTAGGGATCCCCAGTGCTGCCCGGGGTGTCCCCAGTGTTGCTTGGGGGTCCCCAGTGCTGCCCAGATGCCTCTGATGCTGCTGGGTATCCCCAGTGCTGCTGGAGTGTCCCCAGTGCTGCTCAGGATGTCCCCAGTGCTGCTGGGGGTCCCCATTTTCACCCCTCGCTGTCTCTCTGCAGGCAGCGATGCCCCTGGAGCCCCTGATCTGCTCTGACACTGCCACACGGTGAGTCCCGGCCCCTTGGGGGGGCAGCGGGGTGCTGCGGCCACCGCTGCCGGGAGGGGCCTCTGAGTCCCTGCAGGGGACTCGTGTCCCAACACTGGCGCTGTCCCCATCGTGTGTCCCTGCAGGGTGAGCTCCGTGCTCAACCGGGATGTGAAGCACTTTGGGAAGAAGCACATGTTCGATGCGAGCGAGGAGACGTGTTGGAACTCGGACCAGGTTTGGGGATGAGGGTGGGATGGGAGCCGTGCACACGGTGAACCCCCTGTTGTCCCCACTGTGACAGAGCCCTTGGTGTCGTTCCTGCCCCCAGGGCACGTGCCAATGGGTCACGCTGGATTTCCCCGGCTCTGTCAAGATCTCGCAGCTTCACATCCAGTTCCAGGGGGGATTCTCCAGCCAGCTGTGCACACTGGAAGGTGAGGAGCCGGGCTGGGGGCACAGGGGTCCCTCTGCCTCAGTTTACCCACACCTACAGCCCACAAGGGTATTTGTCAGCTGTTCCCAAACTGCTGGAAGGGCTGAGGCCATGGGCTGGAGCAGAGGGGGGTGAACAGCAAGGACCTGGGCTTCTCTGGGATGCTTTGGAAGCAGATGGGGACCTGGTCCTGGCCCTGCAGCAGAGCAGGCACCGGGAGGATTTTGTCCTCTGCAGGGTGCAAAGCAGGCGAAGAACTGGAGCGAATCTCCACCCTGTACCCCAAGGACAGCAACGCCATGCAGATATCCTTTGCTGGGCTGCGTCGAGCCCCTTGGCAGAGGGGTTCAGAGCCCCCCGAGGTGGTGGAGGGCAGGGGGGGCTACAGCAGAGCTGTGATTTAAATGTAGACCTGTGGGGGCTGCTGCTGCAGCTGCTCAGCAGAGCTGGAGCTGCTCCAGACATCCCCAGCCATGGTGCACCCCTTGGAGCGGGTCTCCACGTGTCCTGGCACCCCCCTGCCTGTTTCAATCCTTTACGGGCCCCGCACAGATTCCAGGTGGAGGAGACGGTGCTGGATAAGCTGAAGATCACGTTTGAGAACAGCACTGACTTCTTTGGGAGGATCGTTGTGTATCACCTCGGGGTGCTGGGGGAGAGGCTCTAGGGGAGCACAGGGGCGCTTCTCCCCATTGCCTGTGTGCCCCGTATGGAGGGGGGGACAGACATACAGCCCCCAGCTGCACCCCGAGGCGCTGAGAGGAACCCCCTGTCCCATGGGATGGCAGTGACAGAGGGAGACTAGTGCAGCGATCCATGGGCTGGACTTTGAGCCCATGGTGCGACACAGCCTGTGTGACTGGATGAATAAATGATGTCCCTGCTCCTTCCTGGCTGCTCCTTGGGCAAGTGGCACCCTGGGACTGAACCCATGGCTTTGCCATGGCCATGCTGGTGCATGGCTGGAGCAGAAGAGAGGTGTCCCCTCTGTGGGCTCTGGGCTTTGGCTGTCTCTCACCTTTCCCAACCACCCCTGAACTTCTCGGAGCAGCTCTATGCAGCCTCGCAGGCTCCAGCGCAGGATGGCACCGTGCTGGCTGCCAGCTGGGGCTGTGCTGTGCTCCTGGCTGGCAGGGTGATGGCTCCTGCTGGCTTCTGCTCCTGCCTGTGGGTGTTTCCCTGGCTGGTTACAGCACTGGCACTGTGTGGAGGGAGGGCTTGGCAATTTATGGGCATAAGAGGGAGCCTCCCTCTTCAGAGACAGCTCCAGAGAGGAATACCAGGCCTTGAAGAGGTTGGTTGGCCCAGTTCCCCTCATGGCTGCCCAGTAGCTGGTGCTGGATCAGGGCCTGGCAGCTGTGACAGGACAGGGCTCCACACGGCTGCTTTCAGGTTTAATTCCAAGGACATGATACCTGTTTGCATGGTTTGAATGCAAACACGAGCACAGCAGCTGAGCCCAGACACAGCAGAAGAGTGTCCCTGGTGCGAGGCCTCATGGCTGTGTCACCTCCAGAAGAGGCACTGATGCACCCAGGACAGGCAGTTCCCAGCTTCCTCCATGTCCTCCTTGCTTGAAGCATCACGCCACTGCCCATTCCAGAATGGCTGGGTAAGGTCATGGTGTTCCCAGAGGAGAGCCCTGTGCCAGGTGGGAGCAGTGCTGAAGCTGCAGCAGGAGCAGCCTTTGTCATTCCAGCTCCTTGTTCTGAAATAGCTTGAGGATGTGGTTTTCCATAACCTGTTGAACTAACGGAGGGGAGAGAAGGGACACGGGGAAGCTAGGCTGTGAAAAGCCAGGACTGCTGTGTGCAGGACCCTGTTTTCCAGTGGGAGGCTGGAGAACTCCTTTATCCAAGGATCTGTCCCTATCTCCTGTGTCCCCACCCTATCTCCAGCACAGCTCTGGTTTGGAGGGGGACCAAAGGGAACAGGACCCATTGATTTCTTCAGCTTGGTTTCTCTGCATGGCAGAGCAGGGAGCTGTGCTGGAGAGTCAAGGAAAGCCCCAAGCGGGGCTGGAAGCTGGGAATTGCCTGGAGGCTTTTCAGGGCTCTCTGCCAGGCAGGGGGGGGACACTTGCCTTTCTTGTGTCCCAGGGCCACAGCCAGATCCATGGGAGTGTAGCCAGAATCTGCCTCTTCCGTCAGGTCAGCGCCACGAGCTGCAAGCAGTGGGGATCAGTCCCCTGCGAGTCAGCACAGGGTGAGGGGACGCCCAAAAGGTGCCCGTGCTTGGGCAGCTGCTCAGGCGTGTTGAGGTGGTCAGCAGGGAGCAGAGCTTCCCCGTTACCTAGGAGGGCCTCGACACACTTGACGTGATTGCCACGCACGGCGTAGAGCAGAGGAGTGCCGCCGTTCTGCAGGGAAAGGGAAGGGGCTGGGTCACTGCCAGCCTCACGTGGGGCCGCCTTCACCCAGCTCCTGCTGCTCCCAGGAAAGGTTTTATTCCCTTTGCTATACAATAACTTCAATTGTGTCATTTGAAAGACAAAGTTCCGAGCACTGTGTCCCTGGGGCTGGAAACACCGGCAGTGCGAACAACTGAGGAATGCCACGTTGGATGCGCCCTGGGGAGCCTGCTCTAGTGGAAGGTGTCTCTGCCCATGGCAGGGGTTTGGAACTGTGTGATCTTAAGGCCCTTTCCAACCCAAACCTATGGTTCCTACCACAACTGCCTGAGCAGGCAAGCGGGGCACTCACCCAGTCATAGATGTTGATGTCCACGTTCCTCTCGAGCAGCAAGGTGACGATGTCGGTGTAGCCGCCCATGCTGGCCAGGGACAGGGCGCTCTCCCGCTCCTTCGCCAGCGCGTGGGGGTCAGCACCCTGGGGACGGTACCAGCGTTAGGGTGAAGGAGCCCCAGGGTGCTGTGATGGAGCCGGGTCGCGGAAGGCAGAGGCAGCAAACATGTTCCCAGTGAACCAGGTGTGTTTTAATCATCAGCAGCATCTCAGGTGAGGACTTGAAAGCCCTTCTCCAGTGTCAGTAAATGAAGCCTTATGTGGTTCCTATTACTCAGGAACCCATCACTAGTCAAGGTGTTCCCAGCCCTATCGAGATGCCTGTACAGTATCCACTGTCTCTTTTATTACTGATTTACATAGAAAACCTCCCTGTCCTCCAAGCCCTTGCCACCACAGACCTCTCCTGGACTTCATTATGCCCTTTATCAATATACCACCTTATTTATTTTGGGTTCTGTTTGTCTCTCTAGTAATGCACTTCAGACTTGCTGCTAATACAGTAACAGGGTTCGGGCAGTGCTTATGAGCTGTGAGTGCTTGCTGATGGTTGGATATGGGACAGAGCTTTGGGGAGCAGCTTGATCCAGAGCACAGGAGGATCTGGTTCCTGCTTACCCCCAGACGGTCCTTGACTGCAAGCCCAGCACTCAAGGATGTTGCAGCAATGAGTTCATTAGCTGCAATGATGCCTCGGTGAGCACATTTGCAGGCAGATTACAGGGCCCCAGTGACAAGCCTGATCTCAAATTACCAATAAGCAGATATTTAATTACAAACAGTTCTTGCTAGCTGTGAGGTAAGTCTCTTCATGCTCTTGACTTAGCTCACAGCCCAATGGGGAGGAGCATCTGACAGCGCCCAAGCCGTTTGCTTTGCAAACGTGTCCTGTTTGGTGCCATGGGAAAGACTGTCTGAGACAGTGCCAGGATGGTGCTGGACAGTTTGGCAGCCACTGGGACTGGAAGGGGGTTGGGTCTTCTGTTAACAAGGTGCTGCATAAGTGTGGTCTTACCCATTCCAGCAAGTGCCGGACCGTTTCAATCTCTCCAAAGGCTGCAGCCCAGATCAGCGGTGTGAAACCTCTCTCATCAGGCTTATTGACCAAGTTCTCGCCTGCACAAACATGGATGAGACATGAGAGATAGGAAGGGTAAAGCCCCCTCTGCTCCACATCCTCCCAGTAAACCCAGCAAAGGCTGTCAAAAAGCTGAGGGTTTATGAAAGTGACCTGGCATGATCTGGGGCAAGAACCCGAAGAACCACAGGTACCTTTCCGAAGGTGCTCCTTGAGCTGGCTGAGCTCCCCCTGGGCAGCGAGCTGGTGAATGGACAGCGCTGGGGACAGAAAGAGTTCACCCATCGGCATCAGACACCCCCCAGCTCAGCACCCACTGCCTGTGGGCGTGCGAGGCGCGGTGGCACTCACTGTCCAGCGTGGCCGGGAGGGCTGAGACCTCATTCCCTCGCTGCCTGTTCGTCAGCGTGTTCGAGTGCTTCAAGGGGAAACCTGCTCCCAGAGAGAGAAGAGAGTCAGGACACGTCTCCTCCGTGCACAGAGAGGAACCACACTGACTCGAGACCAAAAGCCTCCTGCACGCTCAGGTCTCCTGTGCGTGATCTGAAGCTGTTCCCTCCTGTCCCTGGCAAAAACTGAGCTGTGCAAACCAGAAATTACTCCCCTGCAACTGAACCCAAGATGAGGTTTGAGCGGTGCCACAGGGACCCGCAGCTGAGCGGGGAAAATAAACCAGCCCCAAGAGCTGCCTAAGGAGGGGCAGGGTCCATCTGGGGCACTGTGGAAGGCAGGGATCTGGCATTAATGGCATAATGGCACATGAGGGACACACTCATGTTCATCCTCATACGTCCTACCCCTCAAGAGCTCCACTTGGAAATCTCAATGTGTTTTCAACACACGAGTCCTGGTTTCATTAGGAAAGCACATGAAGAGTTTGCCATTTCCCATTCCACTCCATGGAGCTGCAGCGACCTCTCACTGCCAGCGCCAAGACATCACCAAGGTGATTTGGATTTGGCCTTGCCATGTCATGGGAGGGACCAGAAGCAGCAAGGCTGTTTTCCAGCTCTCTTTGAGGGATGAGGGACCCAGCTGAGCCCGGTGGGGCTGTGCTGAGCACCAGGCTTTGCAGCACTCACTGTCAAGAGCCGAGAGCTCAGTGCTCTTCTGTTCGTCCACGGCGGGCTTCGTGAGCGCATCTGCTCCACCTGCAAAACCGGGACAGCCGCTGGGGCCCTTGGTGCAGCTCTCCGGGGAGCAGCCTGGGCCCGTCGTGTGGCACAACGAGACCCAGCCCTCACTGCAAGCACCCCAGAGGTGATCCCGGTTTACAGGGGCAGGCGCTGGGTGCGCACTGGCCCCACCACAGCCCCGTCACCCCCAGCACTCACCATCCCCATGGCCCCAGCGCGCCGCGTCCAGGTCCGGCTGCAGACACACGGCGGGGGCACCGCTGTCCCCCGTGTCCCCGCTCGCACCCAGCTCCTCTGCGCTTGCTGCTCCCTCGGCTCCATTCTCACCCTCTTTCGGGAGCTCCTGCGTAGCCCCAGCGCTCGGGGGGGTCTCCTCGGGACGAGCCGCTGCTCCTTCACCTTCCATGGGGCAGCTGCCACACAACAGAGCGTTAGGAGCGGGGGGAAAGGGGTGAAGCCCGGGGGGCGGAGCGGACGGAGGCGGGGGAGAGGACTGCCGATAACCGGAGCACCCAGGGCCTGCGGGCCCCCCGCCCCTCCCGCTCGCCCCCCGCCCCGGGCAAGGACCGGAGCCCGGCCGAGCCAGGGCGGGCCGGAGGGACCCGTCCTCGCTTAACCCGCGGCCATCCCCCGCCGGCCGGCCCGGCCCAGCCGAGCCCCCGGGCTCACCCCCGGCATCCTCCGCCGCGGGGCCCCGCGTCCTGCCCGGGCACTTCCCGTTCCTCCGGCGCGGCGCGGCGGGGCCCGGCCCCCCAGCATTTGCCCTTCGTGGCGGGGCTGTGAGCGGTGAAGTGTCCGGTGGGACGGTTCCAAGGGGGGGGGGGCGGCTCCGGGCCCCGCTGTCCCGCACAGCGCCGGGGGCAGCGCTGGGGGAACGGTGGCGCTGGGGCGCTGTTTCCAGCCGGGGCCCTTTGCAGGGAGGAGGAGG